CCAGTGCGCACTTATATTCAGGATGACAAGCCAGATCCAGAAAGATCTCATACTTTTGTTGACATTTCTGAAAACGGGCTCATGGCGATATCTGGAAGTTATAAACCGGTTCAAATCTGGCGCTGGGATCTGTGATCACGGACAGACTGGATACTTCTTATGTTCCCGGGCCGCTTACAGCTCCAGCTTCACCATCGTCCCAATACTCAATTGCTCGTTGTCATACTGACGACCCTTGGTCTCGTTCTTATCCGTGTTTTCCGTAGACGGTAGCTTTCGCGTATCTGCGTCATCAAATCAACTGTAGCTCGAGTCCTCATTTCAATTTGAGTCAACAAGAGTAACGCCTTATTTCCTTCTATTTTATCTATTCCTTTAGTTACTAGGACCTACGTATGTCACCGCCAAGAGCAAGGCTATAGTACAAAAGCCACACAGTGGGCTATATGATATACAGTGACTAAGTGTAAACTTATCCAAACCTCATTTAAAAACCAATTAACTAGACCACTGACAATTCCAGTATCCTGAACTTGTATGGATAGATTTACAGTTTATAAATCATCTTAAAAGGAACAAAATGATTGAAATCATATGGAATATAATAAATGTTTTTGTTACAAGTTTTGAAGAGGTTCTGTGAACCTCTCAGTACCATCTATTATCTCTTATCAGTTGCCTAACGATTTACAAGAAAGTCACCACCAAACCTTACACAACCTCCTCAGACCATCATACCCCTTCTACAACACGATTACAAAGAACAATAATGAGCAGTAAGTATCAAATAATCAAACTAATCTGGAATACATCACAGAATGGTATCACAATCATCAAACAAAACAAACATCAAAACTGAATCCATCAGTCCAAACAATCCTAACCCGAGGAATCAAAAGAAACAAAAGTTATAATCCACTCAATGGACAAAAATCCAATCATGTCATCATAAGCGCGACCGAACCGGTCTTCAGTTCATTCGGGTCTCTCCCGAGCGGATACTCATCCGATCCGTGAATCCGCGATAAGGTATAGGTTTTCTAAGAAAACAGCTCGCTTGAGCAGGGATAGAAGTTGAAACACCAGTTTCTGACAGGTGTGAGCGCGTGTATCGCGCTTCAGTCTCTTGGTGAATTTCTCTCGATGAATTTCTCTTCATGAATTCCTCCCGGAAATAAGAGATAACTTAAGCGTCGTATAAACCTCACAGGTCATAACTCAAGACCATATTCCTAAATGGTGCAAGGAAGGTGCAAAAAAGGTGATTGTAGATTCAAACACCCTGACTTCAACCGGATCGTCCCCTGAGGCGGTCAACGCCATCGCGAACAGTGTCGCGGAGACTGAAGCCGCCGAAGAGCCAGTCGTTGGAGTGACGGCCGTAGTGGTTGACGGTGTTGTTGTAGCGACGGTAGTCGTCGCTTGTTTTGCGGGAGTGGTTGGAGCCCGGTCGCCGCTTGGAGACGGGGCGAGACATTGTCTCTGATTTGGCGTTGTCGGGGGAATTGGAGCGAGAGCGGGTGCGAGACGCCGATCGCGAGCGGAAGAGTCGCTCGGGGAGACTGAGCTTCTGGGGAGCTGTTGTGGATGTGGATGTGGATGTTGTGAAAATTGTAGATTGAGTGAGGGAGCGGTCCATGGAGATTCTCTGAGAGTCTAGAGAGGAGGTGCGGAGGTCGGACATTGTCTTTATTTCTTGTATATACTCCGTTTATATAGTGATTTTCCAAAACAGATTTAACTTGTGTCTAAATAGGTAAGAGATAGATAGACAGAGATAGAGGATAAAAATCTGACAGAACCCGGGGATACACAGAGTATTTATAACCCCCTCCTGACGATTGTTTATCTCCGGCCCCAAAAAAGAAGAAGAAAAAAAAAACAGTGCACGCCAATCAACAGCCCCCACCCCGTGAAGAAGACTCACACCCCTGTCCGATTAAGCCGAGCCAACGAATCAAACGCCGCCAGCAATCCGAGTCCAACTCCACTGATAGGGTCTAGTGCAATTCTTGACTCAAAGTCAGTGTCGGTGAGGGGGTCCCGGGGGATCCACCCGTCTGCCCTACAAGGCCGATCACCATCCAATCAGGGACGTTTTCCTCTTCTAACGACCCATTAAGAGGCTCGAATTCACCGCTTCGTGTCTGCCTGGAAAAAAGGACCGTGTTTACTTACCACAAATAATTAGAATAAAAATGCATCTGCCTATCTTGCAGATTTCCATCAAAATTCAATCCGACTTACCCGAATCCACGTAGGATTGTCACTATTATTATCATCATCTGTGTGACTTGTTGTTTCAACTGCTCATTTTATTTATTTTTCTGCAAGAAAATACACAACCAAACCAGCTGACACAAGACCTGCACTAACCACGCCCGACCTAGTCTCTTCTAGCGCACTTCCAGAACAAGGGCAACAAGTCATCCATTTCGGCCCCCACGGTCAAAACCTGTTGCAATTGAACTCTGAGCCCCCATTGGCCGAATCGTAAACACAGCTTATCATGACAATCTCCGACTCCGAGCTGAATACTGTTATTAGTCCATTCGGTCCAGATTCTATCCCCTTTTCTCCCTTCCTCTGCTGTACTCCTACTCCTAACCCTGTCCAGACTGCTTACCATGCATACGCGTAGATCCCAAACCCATCTACCCAATAATATCACAACCAATCCAAACCAATCCAAACAGTGCCAAGGGACCAAAAAACAAAAAAATATCTACACTAGATAAGGAAATTCCATCCCTAGGGCAATTATGCCCGGTGTCGGAAGTCGGAACATTGTTCTCTCCACTTGCGGCTCTGTCGTTTGCCCTATGACATCATGATCTGCGCCCCGTTTGGCCAAGAGGTTTTGTCGGCACGGTTGTTCCGGTTTGTATCTCCGCGGGTGGATTGTTCCGAGTTTTTCTGGGGAATGCTTGGTTTGCACTACTGTTAGTGCCTGGGTATGGAATTGGTGTACCCTATTTGGATGGGTTTTGACTTGTGGTCTGGATGGGTTGATGAGATATATTGTTGCACTTGTACACATTTAATGTCTTGGTATTATTGAGATGTAGTATAATGTAGAGTCTGAAATTGACTAATGTCCATTATATCTTATCGCTGATTAACTTAATACATAACGCCCATCTTGCCGCTCTAATGCAATGCACTTGACTCCGCCAACTTATTAAAATATAACATAGGCTAGTACGCCAAACAAAACGGGAGAAAACAAATAATGCTCATTACTCCTCCTTTAGAGTCCAGAGGCTCGCGCTCGGCCGTCTCCAGGATCGTGGCTGTTCCGAGTGACAACGCCTGTGGTTTCGGTCGTCCGACAAGAGCGTTGAGACCCGTCCCCTGTCAGGGACGACCGGCTGGACCGGTGGCCCCTGCACCCAGTACGATACCAACACGTTCTCGCCGGCGGTAGTCGTCGTGGGTAGCACAAACAACGACCGGGCCTTGTCTAGAGGAGGGCGAATCATGCGCCGGAACGAGCCCGTGCCGTGTCCGTAGCTGGAGCTGGCATTGATATGCGGTACGTTCGCGCTAGTTGCAACCGCTGGCTTGGAGTAGGGCCAGATGCGGTGGGACCGGGTGGTTTTGGAACGTACGATGCCGGCGGACGTCGCATCATCGCCGAGGAAGTCTCCCGGTGCCAGGGGTGTAAGATATTGTTGCTCGAGTTGGACCTGCTGATCTGGTATTCTCATAACAGGTGAGTTGCGACGGGGAGCTGGTCCGCAGTACGGCCAGGAGTGGCGTCTTCTGTGGTTCAGTAGGTGTGGCATGCCAACAAAACTCAACTGTGTATATTACTGAGTATTTGCAAAGAGAGATCAAATCGCCCAGTGCGAGGGTGGTACTTATAGTCGGAGAAACGGCGGAGCAAAAACAATGCCAAGCCCAGGCAGAAGGCTTGAGTGATGGCAAAAGCCCGATTTCCAGAGCCCTCCTCAGCAAAAGTCCCAAGTTACGCCAGACACAGAAGGTTCAGTCATAGCGAAATGAACACATCTCAGTAGTGGCAGACAGGACGGTAGGCAGTGAAGATTATAAAGCAGCTCCGCCTCTAGGGTTGGGTCGTGAGGCCAGCACGTGCCAGGTGCACGCGTAACGGAGGGTTGTGAACGATCGCCCGGATGACTCGTCCAACGACTGGAGATCCGGGGTTTGAAGACTCATCGTCGAGATACTCTGACTGATCACACGGTACGCGTACGAATACGCCCTGAATTGAGTCATCTCGGGACGGGCTGGCGGGCAAAAGCTGGGACCTAATGACGAATAATGGCACACATTTAGATCGTCGCTTGGCAGGAGTAGCGCTAAACATAGTAGTACAAGATCCGTGAAGAGTAAAGCAAATAGAAAACTATCTTTCTTTTCCCTTTGTTTTTATCGTGGTCTTCCTACCTTCGGTCTGGCCAAGTCTTTGCCCCAACGCTTCGATAGTGCGACCTGCAAAATCGGATGCTGGAGATGCATCCGACTAATGCGAGATTTTGGTGCTCCAGTCCGCAAGCGGGGTTACAGTCAGCGGGTGGTTCGCAGTCTTTGGACTCCATCACAAGTCTCTTTGAACGGTTCGAGGAGACCACTTTCTGGCACGAGCGTCCGTCACTGCCCCTCACTCATCTTCTGCAGTGTTACATCGAGTATGAGTTCCGGTGTTGACCTCAATGCTGGCAGTTACGTCATTATTTAAGACTCCCTAGGGCGATCATCGAGGCACGGCTTATCCACTAACCCAGGTGAAGATGTCGTTAGGTAACGCTTCAGAGCATGGGAATAAATCATAGAGGGAGGAAAGGTACTATTTAATTTTGATTTGCCGAGAAATTAGAATAGCTGCTGTCATTCGGTTAGCGATCAGTCAGCATTCTAAAATTGTGTAACTTGGGAGTTCGCAATAACTCCAGATCTCTTGAAAATAGAAACCCATTCTTGTCACAAACCTCTTGTCCTCTGTACCGTTCGCTCCACTTCATCCATCATTAATCAGTCGCGTGGTCTAATGGTTATGATATTTCGTTTACAGTGAGTGTCGCTCAACTTGAGCCCGCTCCGAAAGGGTTCCCGGTTCGATCCCGGGCGTGACTACTTTTTTGTTCTCAATCTTTTTTTTAAATCCACACCCATTGGCATAATTTCTCATTTCTCGTCGTTAATGTGACAGATAGATACATGGATACATTGCTCGTTACATTCATTTCTCATCCTGTGCTTACATACCTCACATGACCGAATATTATTATCGTGATTTGTCATTCAAGTTGTGCTCATCCAGCCCCGGAGAATCGGCCGGTGACGCAACTTAACCCTCATCGCCGATACGCCGGAGGAGTGCATTGCGCATCGAACACCGCGGCAAAATCTTGTCGGTCTACAAGGCATGAGCAGTTAGTAGAGACAGTTAGCTTAGGACAAAATATCATACCTTTCGCTGTGCTGAATGTTATCGCAATCGGTCCGTTCCGTCTAGCTAGGTTCGGATCTCTGGGAGCCACAGCAAGTATCCCTACCATGTTCAGGAAGGTCCCCCTTGCGTATACAAGGGAACTAAAGTCAGCCCGATTGCTTTCTTTCGTCGCTTGGAGCGCCCCAGGTGGTATAGTAACAGTCAGCCACCGATCGGTGACATTATCCTCCCAGCGGGCGGCTAGCTGGATAGTCATGCCCTTCTTCCAGAGTTGTATCTCCGTTTCGCCTTTGTTTGACCTTCTTGGTCCGAAGATGCCTTTTCCCTTTGCTACCAAAGAGACAGCGCGGCGTGAAAAAATTAGCTCGTGCCCGACCGCAAGCGAGCTGAGGAAATCTCGCAACGCGGGCTCTTCATCAAAACCTGCGTCCATACTGCCCACTTTTTTCTCGCAGTGTGAGAATGACACCGGATTGACCGCAGGATATAGTTCGTCCACATGCGAAGAGATGTAATCCGTGTAGAATATACGGGGGAAGCACACTCGTCGGTGTCGATGATCGCAAGAATAATCCGTGTCTCGATAGACGTAGTAAATGTTGCAGTACTTCCAACGCAGTCGAGATTTCTGCAGCATAATGGCTTTGTACTGCTTCCCGTTCAACGCAGGGTCTACAACATCATAGACGTTTACGGAGCTGCTGTCCCCAAACCAGGAGAAGGTTGACTGGCCATTCAGGCTTAAAATGACTCTCTCGAACTCTTCCGCCCGCTTCATCGAACCGAACTGAAGCCGGAATCCAAGGTTGGGGCTATTGTCGTCGTAAATATAAGAATACAGACGGTTGTAGTTGCCATCTGTTTTGCTGGATTCTTCTTGGCAGGTATCAGACCACTTGACGAGTACTTGACCAGTATCTGAATCACTGTCCACTTGTACACGGGTCATTGGCATGAAATATGTATAGCACATGGGCGCTTGTTCCGCTGCGGAGGAGCTGATTACTATGCGTCGAACAGACCGCCATGCCTCGCCATAAGCCCTTTCTAAAATTCGGATCTCGCATGATTTGTGGAGTACAGGAGGGTTCATAGACCTCATGGTCGGCGCTTTCAGCTGCTCCAATACTTCAACTGAGCTTTTGAATATGACCGACTCAGAGAATTCACTGGAATCTACTGGCTCTCGTAGCTGCACGGCGTTGAAATATGCCCTAGGTATGTTGATAAAGCGCAGTAGATCTGACGTGTACTGGAATGTGACGGAGACGCTCTTCGCGTCGAACTGTAAAAGGACAGACTCAGCGACTCTCGCACCAGGCGCGCCGCCGAAAGACCCATCCCATATGTTCATTATTTGTGCCATGTCCTGCTCTGTAACTGCGTATTGTAATATCAGTATAAACTCGCATAAATTTGCATTGGCATAAAAGACTCAACGACTCACAGTCACGTTGTAGACACAGTGTACCGCTTTGGTTGCAAATGGTAATCCTCAGTTCACTCTCTCCTTCTCTGGTAGATAGAAGCAGCATATAGGGTGCTCCCTTTGTTCGCATCCGCAATCGCTTGCTCCCGATACCCGCATTGACGAAGGTACGATGGACGACCCTTTCCTCTTCGTATCCAGCATCTTCCTGGTCAACGGTAATCCAGCGCAAATTTCCCAGGCCTATCATGCCATCACTGTTGCAAGCCATAGCCTCCTCCGGTTGTAGTACCTCCCAGAAGTCGAGACAGTTAGCAGGGACTGCGGAGGAGTCCGGGATATCTGCCGAGGTAAACTGTAAAAATTCCTCTTTGATGCCCTGGCCAATGTTAATTTGGTAGTGCTTAAATGACCCGCAGACTTACTTCTGACAAGTCGGATATCAGCTTTCTGTCTTCCTCGGTTAGGGCTGCCCGTGAACTCTCGCTCTCATCAACCAATACTATGTCATAAAGAATATAAGATGCCTTGAGAAGATCGACATAAGCCTGATTGCCCACGGCCCAAGACTCCATCGATGGAGTCACACTGCCGCGAGCGCTAACAAGGCTCGGCTTTTCCGAATTTGCTAGGGCACTTCGAGCCTTGAACTATGTTAGCTGCCTTCCCGTTGCTGGGCGCAATAATATGCTAAGCAAGACACTAAATTACCTTCAGCAGCCACCAAACAGCCATCTTCAGCCAGTCGCTTGTGCATAATCGCCCGAGCCCTAGCTCATCGCTTGCAAGGGCATCGAATTTCTTGAGGATTGCGGGATCTGGCTGCTGGAACTTCTCGCGTGGTTCATAACGCAATGGCCGGATATGCCGTTCTCGTAGACGCGTCTGCTGAAGTTGTTGAATAGCAGCCGTAGCGGCTTCTGTAGTGTTTGCATCATTATGTATAAATGTCGGGGACTCTGTGCGACCGGGCAGTAAAGGTGCGTCTCTCAATGCCGGATGAATGTCAGCTTGAGCGGGCTCACTACTCGGCGTCCTGTTGTGTCTCGGCTCTGATATGCTCGAGCGCGTACGTCGTATCGGGAGGGTTTGGGATATAGACCGTTTTGGTCCAGAATTGATAGATGTAGTAGTGGTGATTGCAGTCGACAAAGACCATTCAGACCGTCCGGAAAGAATAGAATCCGATGTGGATGTAGGGCGATTATGATCAAAAGTTGATGCCGTTCCTGTGCGTGCTCGACCATGTTTCGGGCTAATGTAACTATCCGCAAGTTCAATCCCTTCATTCTCTTCTGGAATCGGCGGCGTTTGGATACCACGCTCCCCTCGTAATTTGGTGTCGAATACCGGAGGGTCGCTCTCTTCCAAGGCATTGGCAATCCATTTCCCTTTCTTGGCCGATCTAAGTTTGATGTGTGAGGTCAACGTTCTTTGGTTGGCTATCCAATGCTACTTACCCGCCGATATGATTCCTCATGTTCAGGTTGCAAGTCTGTGGGGCATCCTTCGAGATGGATGCAAACTCGTGTAGATCAAGCGCCGTCTGCGTGAGGGTAGGCATATCGGGCGTAGCGGAGTCATTGGCGAGGGCCATAGTGGAGTTGTATTTCTGTCCGATGGAGAAACCACAATCCTGTGGTTGAGCCATTCAGTACGGGAGAGGTAAAGTATGTACAGTGACCTTCTGAATATTCATTGTTGGTTGAAAGCTCCAGCACCTTAACTGAACAAAGAAACGGTTTGTCGTGAAATGGCGCTGCAGGGTTCCACAGGGTAGATAAAAGGTCAGGTCAATACAATGGCAGACCGGCGTGGTAGTGTGATCAGGAAGGAAAAATGTAATTTTTCTGGATAACGAGAGATGAGTCAGGGAGAGATGGATGGGCAATGAAACACTTCGGGCTCGTGTGGTGAAAGGTGCAGCGCCCCGTTATCTGCGAAGGGAAAAATACCCCATGAAATGACGGAGTGGGCCGGACGCCAACGCAATTTGCACTCCAAAGTTGAAATTGTGACTGATTAGTGCAGGCCTGGGGCAGAACCGAGGAGATAAATAAATTCAATATTAGAATAAGCCAAATTGCGATACCAAGGTGTTCCAGACCAACTCCAAAGTGTCAAGTTCGGCTATAGAGGCGCAGCCAGCCATATAATAGAGTATATAGACAGAGTGGAGCGGTCTTGGTGGCTCGTTCATTCACCATCTCCAGATTTAGAGTTCCAATGGGAGAAAATAGGACTCCAATAGTCACTGCATAGTGTCGGATAGGCCGACTGACGTTGCAGCAGAAGCTGTTCTTTCTTTACTCGGACATTAACAAACAAAGACCGCTACTCCTATATGTTCTCAACATATGCCCTACCTCTCAAAGGGCTTCAAGGTTCATTCTTCATCTAACTTCTCTCCCAAAGACAGGTGAGACAGATGGCAACACCGGGCACAATGATCAAACCTAGAAACACATGGCAACGACATGGCAAAAGATAGACTCACATGATGCGACAGATGGAACTCAAAGCCACAGATCCCGCTTATGAACCAATGAGGGTCCATATTGGATCTATCCAGTGCATTGTAGGGATCGTCCAAGAACTTGCGGGGGGCTGATTCATTGTCTACAGTGGAGCCGAACCAAAGAACGGGCTGTCTCGTGGGTTTCAGCCTGGGGGGTATAGAGAAAGTTTCCATGGGTATATTAAATAATATCCAAAATATCATCAGACTATTGACAGATAAAGGAAAAAGAAGTGAGGGGGTAGTTAGAAGTCTACTCGGAAGGCGGGACGATGAATCGAAGTATGTATAGAGTAAAGTCGGTCATTAATACTATGAAGACGAAAGTGGGTCAGGACTAATTACCGATCCCTGCCTCAGGCACTAATACTGCAGATCGTCGAGTTGTCAAGTTTCACTTTCAGGGGCCAATTCATTCCACATTCTTCACACTTTTCACCCCGTCATTCATGGCGTGAACTCCACATTCCTTGACACTCCTAAATTCACAATTAAATCTTCCCCAATCCTTACTCCCACAATCCAATCCCCGTATCAAACCAAACAAAAAAAAAGAAAGAAAGAAAGAAAGAAACACGATAAGATATTCTCCCGATAAGCCGTCACAGAATGTCGACGGTAGCACCCTTCACACTAGACATGGCGACATGCCTATGCATCGCCTTCGCGCTCTCCTTCATGCCAACAGCGTACATTCTCGGCCGATCGCTAATCCCATCGACACACACACGCAA